AAGATGTTCCTGTGCAGCTTGTGTCCATTTCCCCTTCCTCTTGTGCTTCCTCTCCTCGCCTACGCCTCTTGTCATGCTTGATCAGCCTCTTTGCTCTTTCCATCTTTCTCGGAAAATGTATAAGTGTTTTTCTTTCTCCTCCCCCTCTCCCCCAGCGACGGCGCGGGCGGCGTCGGAGAGAGCCTCGTCACCGTGGGGGCGCCTCAATCCACCCGCCGCTTCTCCGTGCTGCTCTTCACCCTCGCTCAGGCCTTCCGCCACGTCGCGTCGGGGACCTTCAGCACCAGGAGGTAGGGAGCGCCGCCAGGGACCGTGTTCCATTACTGCCCCAGACACACGGGAACGTATGCACAAACACGCGCGACCGCACACTCAATTCACACGCACGCGGGTAAGCGCATGCGTCCATGGACACACACAAACACTTGCGTCCACAGACACACAAAGGCACACGCACATGCGCTCTCATGCACACACACACTCCTCCCGACCCACAGCCACACAAAAACGCCTATCTAAACATGCGCCCTTTACCCTCTCAAACACTATGTCACGAACGCAGACCTAGAAACAACAATTCTCCGAGGTAAATGGGCTATACATAAAAAATAACGGGAATGTGTTTTACAAAAAACTTATATATACACATTGTCAGAGAGAGAAGGAGTGAGAGAAAAGAAACAAAGAGAGGGAGAGTGTGAGAGATCGGGAGAAGGAAGAGGGAGGGACGAAAGGAGATTGGAAGGAGGGTAGGGGAGAGGGGGCGGACAGAGAGGGATGGGAAGAGAGGGAACGGAGGAGACGGAGTGAGGAGATAACATAGAAAGCATTATATAGATAGGGACTAATAAGGAAAGAATCAATTCTCTATTGATCAGTCAGACAATCTATCTCTCCATCTATTCCTCTATTCACGTATCAACTATCTTTATACCCTTATATCTCTAGCCTAGATAGGTTGGAGAGAAAAGGAAACGTACACCCAAACAAACGCTCACGCACACACGCAAGACAAGCACGCATGCACACGCGCGCACGCACGCCCCCCCCCCCACACCCCACACACATTCACACACGCGCGCGTGCGCGCACACGCACGCACGTACACACGATTCGATTAGATTCCTGTGTCTGTCGTTCCTCTCTGCAGAATTCTGGCTGAAATCGGCGCATAGTCTAAAGTGTCAGGCGGAGCCGGCTCTCGGCAAAATTCAAAGTAAGGTTGCAAGTCCAACAATTAATCTTTTCTTCGGCGATGTGTTTTCGCGAGGCTCGTTTGGGATTCTTGGTCGCTCTTCGGTAACACGACCGTTCTATCTCTCCTTCAGCAGGGGAAACGGGAGAGAAAATATTTGCAGTTTATTCGCTATTCCCTTTATTCTAGCGCGTCTGATGTGGCGTCCGTCGCCCCGGTATTCCCGCTACCGATTCACATCTCGTATCAGGATAATTGTCGCTGTGCTGAGGAAGTTGGCAGGCAAACAGCCGACCGAAATTAAAGGCCATTATAGGCTATTACTTTTCCGAGCTTACATTTGAACATAGATCTCTGACACCTGGGGATTGCAAGCTCATTATGCAGGGTTTGCATAACTTTGCCAAACATTATGCAAAATACTCTCTTCAACTTTTAGACCGCTTTTCGTATGGGAGGGAGAACGGTTTCCGTTTTCTTTGGTCTAACACTACTGTTTAGTAGGGAGGCAGGCAGGGAGGCAGGCAGGGAGGCAGGCAAGGCAGGCAGGCAGGCAGGGAGGCAGGGGGAGGCAGGGAGGGCAGGGAGGGAGGCAGGGAGGAAGGGAGGCAGGGAGGGGCAGGGAGGCAGGGAGGCAGGGAGGCAGGGAGGGCGGAGGGAGGGAAGGGAGGGGAGGGAGGGAGGGGAGGGAGGGAGGGAGGAGAGAGGGAGGGAGGGGGAGGAGAAGAGAGAGAGGGGGAGGGGAGAAGAGGGAGGGAGGAGAGGAGGAGAGAGGAGAGAGGGAAGAGGGAGAGGAGAGGGAGAGGAGAGGGATGAGGAGAGGGAGAGGGAAGAGGAGAGAGAGAGGAGAGAGAGAGAGAGAGAGAGAGAGAAGAGAGAGAGAGAGAGAGAGAGAGAGAGAGAGAGAGAAGAGAAGAGAGAAGAGAGAGAGAGAGAGAGAGAGAGAGAAGAAGAGGGAAAGAGAGAGAGAGAGAGAGAGAGAGAGAGAGAGAGAAAAAGAGAGAGATAACGAGAGAGAGAGAGAAAAGAGAAACAGAGAGAGGAAAAGAATGAGAACGAGAGAGAGAGGAGAGATTGAAAAAGAGAGACAGAGAGATTGAAAAAGAAGAAAAAAAGAGAGATTGAAAAGAGAGAAGGAATGAATGAAAAAGGGAGTTCGAAAAGAGAGTTTGAAAAAAGAGAGTTTGAAAAGAGAGTTTGTTTGAAAAAGAAGATTTGAAAAAAAAAGATAGATAGATGAGGAAAGAGAAACGAGAGAGAGAGAGAGCAAAAAAGAGATAAAAGAAGAAAGAGAGAGAAAGAAGA